CCTACCCACCCCGCCACTCCAAGCACCTATTGACCCAGCGACTCGAAGCACCTACTGACCGAGCGACTCAAGCGCCTATCGACTCAGCCACTCCAAGCACCTACCTATCGAGTCATTCCAAGCACCTACCGACTAGGCCACTCCAAGCACCTACACCCTGAGCCACTCCAAGCACCTACACACCGAGTCACTCCAAGCAACTGCGCACCGAGCAACTCGAGGCACCTACGGACCGAGTCAATCCAAGCACCTACTGATCGAGCCACTTCAGGCACCTTCCGACCAAGCCACTCCAATCGCATTCTTCTTTTCTTTCTCCTCTGTCTCTCTCTATTTGTGTCTCTCTCTCTTCCTCCTCTCTCCCTCTCTCTCTCTCTCTCTGTTTCTCTCTCCCTTTCTCTGTCTCTCTACGTGTGTTCTGTTCCTTGAATTTGTTAACAAAGCTGAAATTTAGCAGTTGATTTGGGCCTAACGTTTTTTTTTTTTTTGGCGGGCATTGCCCGCACCGCCCGCACTGCGGGCGCTTAGCTAGTATATTGTCACAGAACTATTGACTAAGAGCATGAGCACGTGAAGAAGAAGAAGAAATATATATATATATACAGGGTAACCGGCGTTTGGGATGGGCCGAACGCCCAAACCCGAACGCCCGAACGTATGGGACCCCTTGGGGATGCGTTCGGCCGTTCGGGCCGAACGCGGACCCAAAAAAAAAAAAAAAGAAATCAAAAACATCTGAAAAAAGATATGTTATCAAGAAAAAGAAATTAAACAAGATTTTTATTTATTTTTTTATTTTTTTTTTATAAAGAAATCGCAACTTCATTACAAAACCGGGAAACGGGCCCGGCTTCCCTCACATAGATGCTGTAGTCATCCTGGGCAAAGAAAGGCACTCCTGGCCAACCCTATCCCTAACCACAGCCTTCTTGCTACCGAGACCCCAGCCCCCCCCCCGCACTATCAGTCCCAAGTTGCCAAAAGAACCCAAAATTAAAAATCCCTAATTACCTAAACGTACCTAGACGCAAAAGAAAGTAAAAATCAGACCCTATCTATTACTCAAACCCTATTTACTCCAACCCCATTTACTACTATCCGGTCATAAAAACCCGCAAAAACCAATCAAAGATTACTGAAATTGACTCGAACCCTTACCCTATCTATTACTCAAACTCTATCCTGATACACCTATTCACGTTTTCACGAAAAATTGTAAATCACATTTAACACGTCGAAATAGTGATACACCCATTCTACACCAACAGAGGTTATAGGTTCAACAATCCGACCAGGAAAAAACCCAATCCGGTTATAAACTGAATCCAACTCATTATCCATTCAAAGTCGCAGGCAACAAAACAAAAATCAACCACAGTGTTCGCTCTCTCTGGCTCTCTCTCTCTCTCTCTCTCTCTCTCTCTCTCTCTCTCTCTCTCTCTCTCTCTCTCTCTAAACACTAAAATCTAATACCCATTCCAATCATGTACAACCCAACAATTATGCTGTTMGTAAACACAATAGACAATCCCTCAGAGCTCCAAGGATTAGAAGGTCTTGAGCAACACCACGTCCAAAGTAGGAGCACCAGCSACAGTGGACAATCCCTGGTYGTAGCTGAAGCCCCGGCTGAGCATTTTGTCAGCGTTGTAGGCAATACCATTCGCAGTGTAAAATCCATCATCTCTCTCCCGGAAGTCGACGTTTATCGATGCACTCTATTCCATCATCTCCAGCTCGTCACTCGGATGAAATTGCATCCACCACCAGCCCAATTTTCCAAAGAAGAACTAGCACTACTTAACCACAACGAATGTTCCATATCTGCAACCAGGGGCAAACCCCTGATCAGTTGAAAATACTGATATGACGCGACGCACGGATCCCGCCCGTTGACCGTCCTCATATACACACTCTCCTACCACAGCCAACTAGGAATGCCAACTAGATGTCGACCAGGACCAGGTAACGACGAGAGCACGGTGATGCTCTCTTGAGACAAGACCCACCGTGGCGCCCATACACCCTCTTCCCCATCGTCCCCGCCGCCCCAACGACCAGCTCTGGCTATGCCCTGCTACTAGCGCAGCAGCGCTATGCAATCCCCTATCGCCCGTGCGTCGCGTGTAATAGTGACGCGCTAACGCAGCGTTACCGCTGCGCTAGCGCGCCACATATGACCATGAGCATTACATCCAAATTCCTTACCAAATTCGAAATAAAAATAAAATACGAAAAAAAAATGCTAATAATAATAATAATAATAAAAAGAATTAAATGTAGTGAGCGCGCGAGCACGTTTTCGACACCGCCATCTTTGGCGATTTTTCATTTTTTTTTTGGCATAGCTAAATGCCCTGAAAATTTACAGATGTGTACTTCACATAATGCAAAACCCACTAAAAACGTTTCAAAAGAAATAAAATTGTTTAGACCCTGAACTCGCCCGCTTCCCGGCTTGTATAATATGAAAGTTGTTTTGAAAAAAAAAAAGAAAAAAAAGAAAAAAGTGAAAAAAAATGTGGGCGAGCACGTTTTGACTCCGCCATCTTTGGCGATTTTTAACTCTTATTTGGCTGAGCCAAATGACTTGAAAATTTATAGGCATGTACCTCACGTCATAGAGAACTCACAGAAAAAAATTCAGAAAAAACAAAATATTTTTAGGCCCCGAAATAATTTTTGGCAGGGGCCGAACGCCGTCGGGTACGGAGCCCGTACGGGACCCCGAACGCCCGTACGTACAGAGGTCTGCCCGGGGACCTCCGTACGTACGGGCTGGTGACCCTGTATATATATATATATATTTTTTTTTTTGAATTTCGAAGAAGAAATGCCGAGAAAGAATGATTAATTCGATGTATGTTCGAAAAATTCGAAAAAGAAAATATTTGTGAAAAAGAAATGCCAAGAAATGATGTATTTGCGAATTTACAAGAATTTCAAATGAATTTTGAAAAATAATAATAATAATAATAAATAAGGAATAACTGGTTAATTAAGTAAA